GGGGCTTGATCCCAGGACCCTGGGATCATGACCTGAGCCGGAGGCAGACACCACCCAGGTGCCCCTTGTCATTTACTTTCAAAACTAGACCAAGCTTTTTTTTGTTTTTTAGATTTATTTATTTATTTGAGAGAGAGAGAGAGAGAGTGCAGGGGGGAGGGGCAGAGAGTCTCAAGCAGATTCCACACTGAGCCCAGAGATCAGCAACAAACCTGATTTGTAGTGTTTGCTCGTTTCTGTGGGTGTCAGTACTTCCTCCATGGCGGCTTTCAAGCTGCCAACCCAACATCGCCCAACTCACAAAACTCCTGAAAAGTTACCAACCAGCCCCTGGAGCTCGGACGGACAAATTCCAGCACACCTTCGTGTGGGATAATGCCAAGGTGAGATTTCACACATTTTTCCTCAGGTTCCCTAGCGGGATGAAGGCACGACTTCGCACAGAGCTAACCTGATCAACCACACCAACCCGTCAGTGTGCCCCGGGGATCACCTGCCAGATACACTGATTTGCCTTGGGCTCTGCCCCTGGGGGGATTCCAAACTAAGGGAGAAAGCTATGTCTACGTCTGGGTTTCAATCCTGGCCTGGTCACTTGCCAACTGTGTACGTGATGACAAGAAAGCAAAGCCGCCTCTCTCTGTGCCTCAGTGTTCACATCTGGAAAATGGGGATAATAATAGCAGCTGACTCTCAGGGTTGTCATGAAGACTCAGTAAGATAATCCATGCAAAGTTACAACAGTAAAACTTTGTGTGCATCAGGCACTCTGTGAATTATATCTATTTGTGATTATTATAAAACAACTGGGCCAGGAAATCCACTGTCTTGGTAATGCTTAGATTGAGAGAACAATTTTATCTGCTTAACTGTCTTCTCTCTTCTTTTTTTTTCTAAAATTAATTGATTTATGAAGTCCCATTGTGCTTGACATTGCTCCTGCCACGTTCTCAGAATAGAACCCGCTCAGCACAGGGATTTCATGTAATGAGGCATCTGGGGTGCACATTAGACACCTGAATTAACCATACATCCAGACACAAAGGCCTCAGAGGAGAGGTTGCAGTACGAGCTGCCTGCTTCTAGGTGAGCCGACATTATGTGCCTGGAAATCTTCCACAAGCACAAAGAATGGGGAGGAAAATGAAGGCACACTCAAATTCACTTTCTGGGCCCTGGCCACATGCCATCGCATAAACCGTCCCGACTCAGGAGCCGCAACAGAGCTGGCGGACAGTCACTCACCCTGAGCACTGAATTGGGTCTCCTGCAGGACGTTGATAATGTCCTCTCTTGGAGGCAAGTTAGGAAATTTCTCTTCCAGGATAGAGAGAATTTCTTCTTGCTTCTCTGAGATCTTCTCGGATTCCATGGTCATCCACTTGAAAAGGATGCTACCTAAAAGGCATGAATGAAAATGGCCTTAAACTTTCCAGCTACTCCAGGAAAATCAATGTTTTCTGGCCTCTTGATCTATACGTCCCCTTCCAATTTCTTGCCTGGATCAGAGGCCTCCACGGAGTAGCATTCAAGAGGCCGTTTGTAGAAAACCCTTCAGATACTATCTGCCTTGCCTCTTTGTTCACCAGGTATTAACCTCCACAACTTAACTGACTATAGCGTACTCTGTGGTACAGAGCTCATGGATAAAGAAAGAAAATGCATAGCTTTTCCCATACAAAATGATTTATGTTGTTTTATGATTTCAGAATGGAATTGAATGACCAACTATTTTAAGATATTCAAATTATTTAATATTTCCCTTTAAGAGACCACAGAGAAGACTGTTCCCGCTCACCACATTATTGATTTCACATATGAACTTCTTCCTTTTAACAACCAAATGATTGCAAAGTCCCACTGTCCGCAGCAAAGCAATCTGACAGGTCACCACCAGGAGCCCACTCTCCGACTTCCAGGCATCACACACTACTTTGAAGTCACCACTATCTATTTGTAAGAATTCACAAGCTGGGTCTAAATTACAGACTTTGATTACAAAGTAATTTGCCAATATGAACGACCAACCTCTGACAAACTCCTGGAATTTCTATGCACAATCTCACCTTGAAAAGGAGGAGTTACCACCTGTCACATCCTCTTCCCCTACCTCCTGATCCCAGGCTAACACGGAGCCATGGGGGAAAGAAAAGTTTTGCTTAATGATGAATGATTAAACTCTGAAAAAATCCCCACACCTATGGATTAATCAAGGTGTCACCAACTCTCTGGCTTTCAGTGTAGCCTTAATGATAATCATGGGGGAGAGAAAAGAAAGAAAGAGATGAGAATAAAAAAGGAGAAATGATGTAGTGAGTGAGGAAAACTATGGTACGTGATCTCGACATCTATCCTAAAACCTACAGAACTTAGAGATTAGATCTATGCTCACCATTAAACATCTTGAAAAACTCCACACAAGTCATCTGGCCTGTCTGTTACCACTGGCCTATTTTAAAACAGAAATAATACTGCTTTCACAGCTTATAAAGTTATACTGGGAATCAATGAATGTAAACATCAAAATAAAAAGTAAATAATGCCTAATATATTTAAAACATTCATTTATTCATTCATTCATTCATTCAACAAAGAACTAGTAAGCACCTACTATGGGCCAGGCGCTGTGCTAGACGCTAGTGATTCAAGACTGAAATAGAGATAGTCGTGCGCCGTGAAGCTCAGAGTAGTTTAGGAGCTACAGACAAATAAACACAGACGATTTCATTATTAGGGGTATAAGAAATAGCACTGGGGAAATACACAGCACTCTAGATGTAGGCCAGAATTTAGGAGTCAAAAAAAGTTTTGTAGAGAGAGTTAACCTTAGCTGAGACTGGAAGGGTATCTTAAGGTGAAGGCAAAGTACGAAGATCCCGGGTCAGGTAGACCATGTGCAAAGACATTTGAGATGGGAGAGGCTCTGGCCACCTCAAGGAACGGAAAGCAATTATTTAGAACCAGGTAGTATGGTTTCAGAAAAAAAATGTTGGAAAATTTGGTTGGAGAGGTGGACAGGGGCAAGGTCATGAAGGACCTTACAAGCCGTCTTAGTTTGTGTTTTATATTCTAAAGGAAATAGAGAGACATTAAAGAGTTTGAAGCCGTGAGCAGCTCCTGGCTGGCTCAGTCAGTGCAGTGTGCGACTCTTCATCTTGGAGTCATGAGTTTGAGCCCCATGTTGGGCCCAGAATTTACTTTAAAAAAAAAAAAGAGCTTTAAGTAGCAAGAGATAACGTGCTCACATTTACGTTTTATAAGAATCCCTCCAGCTACCATGCAGAGAATGAATTAGACAGGGCATATCAGGAGAATTAGAAAACCGTTTTTTGTTTTTTGTTTTTAATTTTTTAAAAGACTTTATTTGAGAGAGAGAGCGAGCATGAGTGGGGGAGGGGGAGAGGCAGAGGTAGAAGCAGACTCCCCGCTGAACAGGGATCCCGATGTGGGACTTGATCCCAGGACCCTGGGATCATGACCTCAGCCAAAGGCAGACACTTAACTGACTGAGCCACCCAGGAGCCCTAGAAAGTGGTTTTAGATGAGAATTAAGCAAGGAGCAGTCAGCATGAGGAGAAGTGAATGGATTTGAGACAAATTATCATTTAAAGGGCAGAGAGTAGCCAGCTGGATTCTGAGTATACCCTTCAGTCTGACAATTACTGACATAGAATCCAAAACATAAAGTTGGTTTTTCCACTCTTTGTTAAGGCAATGGTGAATCTGAATTTCAAAAAAGACCCTCATCTGCTTCTGGCTCTGATAAACTACCTGTACCAAGAACATGGAGAAAAGCTGGATTTAAAAAAAATCATCTGTGATGGTGTCAGATAGTTACCCAGGTGACTATCTTAAAAGTTAAGATCCTGTCTAGGCTGTCTTTAGTGAGGAGGACCCCTGCGGAATCGTGAATCCTAAACCACAAGATGGCAAAGAGACAAAAGCAGCCGATGCACCAGCTGAGAATTCGACCCCTCCTGAGGCTGAGCAGGGCGGGGCTGAGTAAATGCCAAGTTACCATCTCTACCATCATCTGGTTTAGTCATCCAACACGAAGAAATGAAGATGAAATTCCAGCAATAAGAAATGAACAAAAGATTGGAGCTGAAGACCTTAAGTGCTTGCTTTTGCCCATTGACCAGATAAATAGAACTATCTGCATTATCTATGCAGCATGGGGTTTTTATTATTTTTACCTAAAGACTTCTCTTTTTGGTAATGACAAACGTATTTCTTTTTTTAAAAAATAAACCTGTTTTTTCTCAATACACCTTTAAAGGTTTTCAAATTGTTTCATATCTGGTCAAGTTGAGATTTTTAAGAACCTCATTTTTAATTTGTAATAAAAAGTTTACAACTTGATTTTTTCAAAAAAATCAACAAACGGCAAGCATCCGTTAATAAAGGCCTTAAAAAAAAAAAAAAAAAAGATCCTGGAGAGAAGGTAAGTGCAAAAAGTGAAGCCCACATTTGGTGTGGTTTCTCCTCTCTAGGTATTTGCTAATTCCTAAGTTGTAGCCAATGAGATAAGAAGGTTCACAGATCTAATAATCATTTCACAGGAATAGTGAGACAAAAATTAAAGTTTAGGGATCTCTATAGAAAAGGAGTCTTGGTTAAAAAACCCAGGCTTTCAGAGGAGGCCCCTGGAGAGTTATACCCTGGGATAGAGGTTGGAGAACTATGGTCTGCAGGTAAATCTGGCCCACTGCCAGATGTTATAAATAAAGTTTTATTGAAATAAACCACACTTATTAATATTGTTTATGGATATTTTTGTGTTATAATGATAGGTAGGGTGAGTAGTTGCAACAGAGACCTGTAGGCCTGCAAAGTAAATAGTAAAATAGTAAAGCAAAGTAAATAGGCCTGCAATAGTAAAATATTTATTATCTGACCATATACAGATAAAGTTTGCTGACCTCTGCCATAGCAGAAGGATGAAGCAAAAATAGATTAGTCTTCATGATGACTGAAATCCTGATTCGAATCAGATCAAACACAAAATAGATTAAGTTTGTCTGATACCCTTCTAACTGCCTCTAAGGTACAAAAGTAAATCCTCTCTAGAGCAAAAGAATCTCATCAACCACAGACAGTATATTATTCAGCAATCAATAAAAAATTACCAGACATTAAAAAAATATGATCTAATGACTGAAAACTCCAGAGGGGGGAAAAAAACTCATGAGGAAAAGAATGGAAATGGAAGTAGAGGGGATTAAAAAAAAGTAGCTGGAGAATTAAGATAGAGTTAGAATCTATAAATAGAATAATCAAAAGAAATTTTTAAACTGTAAATTTCATAATTGAATTTAAGATAACAAAAATCTGCTTAACAACAGATTAGATGAGAAGAAGATTAGTAAATTGGAAAATATATCAGAAGAAAATATCCATACTAAGCTATCCATACTGAAGTATGGAGAGAAAAAAAAAGAGGAAAAATATAGAGAGGAAAATAAGGGACCCGGAGAACATTGAGAAAAGGTCTGACATACATACAGTGGGAGTTTCCCTTGGAGAAGAAAGAAAATGGGATTGAAATTATATTTGAAAAGGCAATGGTCAATCACCTTTCAAAATTAATGAAAGCTATCACTCTACCATTCATGTTAAACTATGAACCCAAAGCAAGATAAATGTAAAGAAAAAGACCTCTAGACACATGACACTAAAACTGCTAAAAATTAACAGAGAATAAAAATCTTCAAAGTGCGGATATAAGATAAACGCCAATCTAAAATTCTATACTGAGTGAACACATAAAAAATGAAGGCAAAATGAAGACATTTCCACAGAAATAAACTGAAACTGTTTGTCAAGAGAAAACTCACACTAAAAGCAAATAGTAAAACAGAAGAAAACTACTATAGATGGAAGCAAAGAAATGCAGGAAGGAAAGAAAAACACTAGAGAATGTGAATATGTGGGTAAGAATAAATCAACATTCATTGTATAAAACAATCACAATATCTTGTTAAAAAAATTTTTTTATGTATTTTAAGGGGGAGGGGCAGAGGCAGAGAGAGAGAGAGAGAATCTCAAGCAGACTACACTGAGAACAGAGCCGACGCGGGGCTTGATCTCATGAACCTGAGATCATGACCTGAGCTGAAACCAAGAGTCAGAGTCTTAACCAGCTGAACCACATAAGCACCCCAACAATGGCAATATCTTATGGGGTTTCAAATATATGTGTGATTAAAATACATTCCAGGGCACCTGGATGGCTCAGTCGTTAGGCGTCTGCCTTCAGCTTAGGTCATGATCCTAGGGTCCTGGGATCGAGTCCCACATTGGGCTCCCTCCTCGGGGGGAAGCCTGCTTCTCCCTCTCCCACTCCCGCTGCTTGTGTTCCTGCTCTCACTATCTCTGTCTCTGTCAAATAAATAAAT